CTCCCTGTAGACGTGTCCTTTTAGCTTCAGATTGTTCCTTTCTGGTCTCCTTGCGATTTCTTTAAAAAAAATTAAAGATGCTACATTGATCCAGTCATCTTTTTTGGCTGATCTTACTGTTGCCTGATATTCTCCGAGTTTGTTTAGGCAATATGCAAAGTTTTCGCCGATCCTGCCTTCCTTAAGTCTCCTGTTCATTAGACTCCTTTCTGTAAATATATAGATGGCATCTCGAATCTTGCATTTTCTCCTATCTTCATCATATGCAGCCAGTCTTTCTGTCAATTTTATGTCCCGTTCGTGAAATGCGTTCTGTTATTTTGGATCTTTCCGTATCAATGGTTTTGTAGTCTTTGATGTTCCTTGATTCGTAGGCCGATTTTTCTTCCAGCTTCACCACTAAAAATTCTGCTCAAAATTGCCGCATTTGATGCCATAAACTCCCAAGCAAGCAAGTTCATCAGTCTTCTCGTGTTGCATCTGCAGACCGGTGAAAAGTGTTGTATCCTCCTTTGTTATATATTGATATTCCATTTTCTTAGTAACGGTCGCAATCTTTGGCTCAGTTCACAGGAGGGCAGGCCTTTTGGTTGTCCTCATCTTTGATCGGATTTTCATAAAATCCGAGTTGGAATCTGCTATTTAAAACCTCTTCATTTTTAAAAATAAATTTTCTGGAGTACCCGTTACTAAGACAAATCCAAATCAGTTTGTCAAACTACTTGTCCCAGAACGAAGGTCGTAAGCTTCTGATGTGCAAACTCGTCAGTATTCCGATCTCTAGTCTGTAGTTATGGCGAGACTGAAAATTAAGGATTATTCCCGCATATGAATTCTTACTGTATAATCTCCTCATAAGTGTCCCATAGGAACGCACGATTTTAATGTCCAAGAAGCGTAGTCGTTCATCCTACTCCACCTCCATTGTGAATTTAATTATTTAATTAAATTGGTTAATGAAATTGAGGAATGCATTTAAATTTTTCTCACCATGTGACCGAAGTGAAAGGTAGTCATCAAAGTATTGCATACGCACTCTTGGTTGCAGTGGTGATTTCTGGAATTCCCTTTCCAATCTGTTCATATACATATTTGCTAAGAGGTGAGATTGGAGATCCCATCGGAAATCCAGATATTTGCTCGTAGATACTGCCATTAAATGTAAAATAGGTGGTTCTTACTGTCTGGTTGATCAGTTGTGTTAACGACCCCTTCCGTATCCCTTCTGGCTCCAGGGCATGATATTCTCGCTCCAATATCTCCAATACGGCGCTTATCGCCTTCTCACCTGAAATGTTTGTGTACAGGATTGTAGATCGAAACTTACCAACAGTTCTGTCTCCAACAGCCCAATGTTTTGGATCCTTTGAGAAAATTCATGTAAATTCTTCACAGTATTCGAATCATTCATTTACTTTCTTGAGCCACAAGCAAATAAACTTAGCTAGTTTGTGTGCTGCCCTATGTTTGTTGTTAGCGGATTTCCATCCTTGTATATCTTCGGAGGTCCGTAGGCTGTCGGTGGTCTTGCGTCATTTTTTATTAAAGATTTCATCATCCATGTATTATTTTCTCCGTTATTATGCATTTCCTTTAGCATATTCCTCAGTGTCTCGTTGGTCTTCATGGTTGGAACCTTCCTTAGTATTTGATAAGTTTTCCGGTCGCTTAGGATACTTTCTATTTACTCCGTGTAGTTTCCTGTCTGTTACGACCGTCGCTCTTCTATTATCCGCTTGAAGAACTATATTCGTATACCAGTCAATCCGCTTATGTGTATCGGTTCTTGATGTGCCATGATCCGTCGGATTATTTCCATTTTCATCTCCCGCTTTGTCGCTTCTAGATATTTATCCGGTATGTTGACAACTTCCATAAGAATATCACTAAGAACGTTCCTTCTTAACCCCGGAAAAATTCAACCCCCTATTTAAGAGATCAGTGTTTTTAAAATTACGAGGGACTGAGGATATATTTACTACCTTATCCCTATCGTCGTTTGTAGCAATTGATCCATTTAATGCAGAACCATCAAAATTTGCCCGGGTTGGCTTGATCTTGTGTGTTATTATTAGATAGCTAGAAAATTTGTCATACCGCTTATTTATCAAATCCGGGACCATCTGTGGCTTCTGGTTGGCCATACTCTGGAATTTTTGAAAATCATCCAGTGAGAACCCTGTCTAGATCCTTCCTTAAGATCGACTTAATATATATGAATTTAAATAGTTAGCACCTCTCACTCTCGTGACTCTTGAAATTTCTGGATAGAGGTGTATTTCATTAACAATGTCCGAATGACATTTCCTCAGAATGCAGAACCGGTGAGAGATATAATGTACCCTAGCCTGTAACAAGAGAATACAAGCATATAAACATTGCTAAGGCACAAAGTACAAAGAATCAGTTAGAATTTTCAAGTCAGGATGAATATTGGA